GCAGTTTGAGATAATCTGACTGCTGTGTTCACCGCTTTTAGTTATTATGCCGCCCGCAGTTGGAACCAGCTTCCAGAAGAGATCAGATGTGCTAAAACATTAGTCACATTTAAATCTAGACTCAAAACTCATCTGTTTAGCTGTGCATTTACTGAATGAGCACTGTGCTACATCCCAACTGATTGCACTGTATTTTATGTATAATCATTTCCTATTTTTAACTGTTTTAAATTCATTTTAAATCAATTTTTAAATCATTTTCAAAGTTGTAAAATTCCTTGTTTTATTGTTGTGATAATTTTTTTATGATTATTTTACTTCCTTTTATGTAAAGCAGTTTGAATTACCATTGTGTATGAAATGTGCTATATAAATAAACTTGCCTTGCCAGACTGTGTTCCAGTGATTATAAAGGACAGACGGAGGTTTTAGTTTGGAGCTGTTGTGACTGTAGATGGTTTGTGTTTGTCGTGTTAGAAGTGAATCAGCACCAGTGGAATTACAGATTTTTTTAGCTGATTTCAGCTGCATCTGAAGGCAGAGAGACGGAAAATACAGAAAGAAGGTTCTGGTTTTCAGATCAGTTCTGAATGAGCATTCCAACCATGTGTGTCTGCAGCAGAATGAAGGTCATCTGTGGGCTGTTAAGAGGAAGACTAGCAGAGGTTGAAGCAGTAGGACACATAGGCAGAGCTTCAGAGCGACAGACAGACAGGAGGCTTTAGTAGAGGAGCGCTAGCGACGGGATCTGTCTGTGTTATATATATACAGTGTATATACTCCATATACTAGGGGTCGACCGATTATCGGCGCCGATATTAAGCATTTTTATGATTATCGGTATTGGCCATTTTCAAAACCGATTCCCTGCTAAAATAACTTAATTTTGAAACGTGCTATTTGGCTCTGATGCAGCTTGTCAGAACTCACCACTCTGTGGCCTAAAGCAATCTCCTCCCACCGCCCATCTGATTGGTTGGGAGTCATGAGTCCGACCAATCAATACGGAATTCACTCTCACTCCGAAAGCGCTTGCTAACTGCAGCTGCTTCAGTGATCACGCATCAGTTGTCTCTCAAAGGTAAGGCAGCAGCAGACGTTGCTTAAGTTGCAATAAATCACAATCCACTAACGTTACACTGAAGTTG